TTGTTATCCCTTTCCAGTATGCACTTATTATTCTTAAATGTAACCACATATCCTAGTTTATCTAATTCTCTTACAGAAAGTAAGTTCATTTTTAACTGTGGTACATATAACATGTTTATATTTTGGTTTAAACATGGACAATATGCAATACCTTCACCCTTGGCCTTGAGATGCCAACCGTTAGCGAGTGATATATGCTGAGAGCTTGTAGACATTTTTATAAACTTTTTCTTATCTCTCGTGATGCAGTGGGATGCTCCACTGTCCACCACCCATAAATCATTCTTCATATCACAATTGCCAAACATGGCCAGTTCAAAGGATTTCTTTGGCTTCTTTACATTCTGGCTTTTTCCTTTTCTGCAGAATCTTGCCAAATGTCCTCTGCCTCCACAATTAAAACACCTTTTAATTGTGTATGCCGTCGAAGATAAATTCTCTTCTTCCGGGTGCTTTACTTTACACAGCTGGTTTCTTTCCAGCCTTGAAGATCATTTCTCTTCTTTATTAGGCTTATCTTCTCTCAGCTGGTCACGTTCAAACCTTCTTCTGGCTTCTTCTAATAGCCTGCCGGTAATCTCAGTTACTGATAAACTGTCTTTTGGCAATACCTCTAATGCAGTCACAAAATCATCATAGCTTCGATCCAAAGAAGACAATATGATGTATACTTGTTGCAACTCATTAAAAATAAGCTCTTTTTCTTGCAATTCTTGAAAAATGCTTTTCATACAGTTTAAATGAGTTAGCATGTCTCCATTCCTCTCAAGATGTGTTCTAAACAGCTTCCGTGTAAGATTGCTATGAGCTCCTACACTGTCTCGAACATAAATCTTTTTGAGATTCTCCCAGCAGTCTGCAGCATTTTCCACTCCACGGATATGAATGAGTTGCTGATCAGACAGAGTGAGACCTATGATGCACAAAGCCTGTTCATTCTTTCGTTCATAATCCTGTATCAGTTTATAATCCTCTTCATCATTTGGATTTAAATTAGATACATCTGGTGGGTTTGTTATTATGTTCCACAAACCTTCTCTTCGTAGAAGTAAACTACATTTCATTGACCATGAAACATAGTTTGTTCCATCTAGTCTGGCTATCATGGACAGACTTGGCAAATTTACTTGTGCCATTGCTCTTGTGAAAAATAACTATTTAACAAACAGTTTGTATTTACAGTAATGTGCAACTCCCACCAGCTCTCACTGCTATATCCTGGTTAGTTAGACTGTGCTCACTGCTGGGCCCATAACCAATGTTAGTGTTTTGGGGATAAACCCCCAAGCAGAGTATGCAGCAGCAGTCAAGCCAGGCAGGCAAATGAGAGAGAGAGTGGGCCCAAGAGTATACACACACTGGAGACAAAAACACTGTTTGTAGTTTTAAAATAGTTATTTAATTCACACAGAGATTAAGAAGTGTCATTCAGTCCATATATCATTATCCAGTATATCCATCCAGTTATCAAGTCCATTAACAGTAAATACAATGTCCTTATCTGCTTGTAAATCTTCTCCTCCCGATACCTTTCTCTCAAAGACAACGCTGAATCTTCAGCTCACCAAGCAAACAGTCTTTGTGTTCAGTTGAAATGGTATCTGGCACAGTAGCCTCCAAAAGCAAGCAGATAGACGTTCCAGCAGGCAGCAGACCAGGAACAGAACCAGGTGCATCCAGAAGCCGGGTCTATTACGTTTCCCTTCCTACCTTTATTACTGCCTGCAACCGCACCCACAATGACATTGCAGTTTCTTGTGCTTAAAGCTACATAGACACTTAATCCTAGGTTTACATATTTATTCAACCCAAACCTGGTTGGTGTATCCATATACCCAACAGTACCAACTTGTGAGCTGGGTGCTGTGGGGTGGGAAGTGAGCAGGCCTTGGGAGGAAGGGCCACTCATCTTTGGTGCGAAGCCAATTTGCACTCCTGTAGTATACCTTGGAAAGCAAACAAGTGTGTCCTCTAACACAGTGGTCTCCAACCTTGGCAACTTTAAGACTTATGGACTTCAGCTCCCAGAGTTCCTCAGCCAGCAATTCTGCAATTGCATTGTGGTCTCCTGGCTACTGTAATGACAACAACAATAATAATAATCACTATTGCGGGGGAAAAAGTCTGGTTCACTGATATTCCAATATCAAGTGATGCATGAATTGAAGAAAAACAACTAGAAACAATAACGAAATACTGCAATCTGCAGATTGAAGCTAAGTGATTGTGGAGGATGAAATCAATGGTTGTACCAATAGTAATAGGAGCCCTTGGAACAATACCCAAAGGGTTGCCTAGATACATAGAAATTTTGAACTTATCAGACCTGAATATTCTGACTTTGTAAAAACCACCTTACTTGGAACTGTCTGTATACTCAGATGTTACCTTAACAACTCTTAGGTCCTTGGTTAGGACTTGAACTTTTTAAAGTTTTACCAGTCCCAGACTGTGAATCAAATTGAAGATTAAAATTAGGATGAGGATGATGATAGTTGTCAAAAATGAGAAGGTAAAGATCTTGTAGGACTTTCAAATACAGATGGGATTGTCATTTGGAACACAACCCTGCCAGATATTATAGTTGTCAAAAACCGAAACATATAATTTATTGATATCGCTGTACCAGAAGATGCCAGAGTCAAAGAAAAAGAACTGGAAAAAAATCACAAAATATCATGACCTGCCCATCAAAATTACGTGATTATGGATGAAACATGTAACAGTGATACCCATTGTCATCGGAGTACTTGGTACTATGTCCAAGAATTAAAAAAAATACATCAAGAATTTGCAGGTTCCTACAATAACACCAGTGGAACTGCAAAAAACTGCGCTACTTGGAACATCATACATCTTAAGAAGATACTTGGTTGATACCTAGGATGCTGGCAGCAGCAACCCATATCAACCATCAGCGCTAGTCAATGATATTTGTGATACATTTTTAAATGTTCAGTTGACTGAGTTTCCTGAGTTTCAAACCATGAATAAAAGAGAAATGATGATGATGATGATGATGTCCTGGGGTCATGTGATCCCCTTTCCTAACAAGCAACATATATGGGGAAGCAAGAGTCATTTAAATAACAACCGTGTTACTGACTTAACAGTTCCAGTGATTCACTTAACAACTGTGATAAGAAAGTGTAAGGAGCCTCACCTCCCCAAAAAGGAAAATCACCTGGGGAGCAGTTTCCCCACAATAGGAAGAAAGCTCCTCTGAAATAAAAGCTAATTCTCATCCTCTCGCAAACAGGGAAATAGCCTGAAACAGCTTTTCACAACAAGCTGAGTGCCTGTGAATGAGATACATTTGTATTCAAAGGCAGAATGCTCCATGTGAATTCATATTCAGGATCCAGACAGTTCCATTCATAAGTGCTGCCGGCTACAGCTTTTGCAAGGAGCCAAAACTGAGCAGATTAAGGATACAAAAACAATGACACTTAAGTTTGCACTTCCCCACACAGCCTCAAGGACAGGACATGATCTCTCAGACACAATGGGAGTCAGTCAACTATAATTAGAATACTAACACTCAAGCACAGATTAAAGTGCATACAAGGGACCTGGGTGTTTAAATCATAAAGCCCTAAAACCATATGAAAACCCATCCACTCACCAGCCTGTTTTGTCAGCTATCCTAGAACTGATTATTGCTGGAGTTGCTTCTGATCACCAATAAAGAAAATCTTATTTTCAAGCATCTGGCTTCTCTCTTCATTTGGTGGCACCCTCGTTTCTCCCAGCTGGAGACTCGAGCCAATTCTTCCTACAAAAGGTCATAAAAATGGGGCAAAATTTGCTTAACTGTCTCGCTTAGCAATAGTAATTTGGGGCTCAATTGTGATTGTAAGTCAAAGATTCCCTGTATACCAATCCAGTGGCCTGTCCATCCCATTGTTATGTCTCTAATATTCAAAAAGCCCCCCTTATTCACTGAGGAAGAGCCACCAAGGTCTATGCAGTCTGAAAATGCAATGAAGACATGCCTAGTGGACAACCTATATGTTTCAGATTGTCCAGCATAGCCACCTCCTAATCCATTGCCATGTTGACAATTGCCTTTATCTAAGGAATACCTCCTTATAAAATCTTTGCTTTTCTCTTGGTGCAACATGTATGTGGCCTTATTCTCCATGAAGGCAGTGCAGGTTACCAACATAGTGTTAGGATCTTTACCATCTTTTTGAAGATGTTTATTTGTACACCTCATTTCTCTCTCTCTCTCTTCCATTCTGTCCTCAAGGGAAAGCTTGTTCTATGAGAATCAGGAAAGCTTGTTCTATGAGAATCATTGTATCAGGTACTCGTGCTGATTTATGTCCAGTAGGGAGGATAGCACCGTGATGGAGGCCATGTGATCTTTTTTTTTTAAATTGTTAAAGGACATGAATTCTATCAGACAAAAATAGCAGTAACTATAATGCTAAGCATGACAGGACAAGCAGCAAGTATTTAGCTGTTCCTTTCTCCTTTTCCAAAAGAAAGATATTTATTGTACAATATGTGGCTGCTGAATTTTAATTCTCAAGGCAAACTTAAACACAGAATTAATTTTTTGCCAACAAATCACTTGGCTGACATAGCTATGATGACTCAGGTGCTGATTAGGTTTGCCATAATTGATTTAGTCTGGGTTCAGATGAAACACATAATCATGTCCTGCTTGCACTAGAGATGATACAGCAGAGAGAGCAAAGAGTTGGGGGGGGAACTGAGCTGATGTCAGTCTATGTGGTGATGTCATTGCAATGAGAAATAGATTTGGCCAGTGCTAGGCTTTGCTTATTTAGCTGGAGGTTGAATTAGGCAGGGACCAGGGACAATAGAAAAGCTGGTGCCTTCCTCCTTCCCTCCCCCCTCCCTTCCTTCCTCTCTTTCTGTTTTGAAGTAGCATCCTGACCAGCTAGGAGTAAAAAAGCTCTTTTATTTTCTTGACTCTGGAGCTACCTAAGCTCTTGATTTATGTCAGGAAGGAGATGCCAGCCCATGACATGGACTGTGATGTCTCTTCTCTAGTTGCCTGTGTAGTGGATATAGAGGTATTTACCAACCAAGATGTTAAGGTATGTGCATGCTTTCATTCTGCAGAGCTATTTCTGACAAGGACACTTGCAAGATGACAAGAACGTTTGATGTCCTGCAAAAAAGCAGATCACATTGTCATGATTATTACCATAACAACCAGAATATTAGGAGTCTTGTATGAAAAGATTAGGGAGCTATTTCTTTATCTTGTTTTTAAAATGGATTTGTGATCTAATAAATCTAAGAGTTGCATCACAAATGAAACCCTAATTAAATAGCAAATTCTCAGTTTTCTCAGTCTGATGCCTTACACAAATGACCTGTCTTTTAAAAGTAAATTAAGGAATAAATTGTAAATGCATGTGGATGTATGTTCTCTGAGTACTGTGCTGAAGCTGTGTTGACCTTCAGGTGTTTGTATGTGAATGTATTATTTAACTGAAAAAATATATGTGACTTTGCACTGCATAGGTGATAATGTGAGTGATTCACCTGAGTTAAAGGATTATTTCAGCCAAAGTTGGACAGTTTTACTTTTTTACATACAATTTTGAAAACTTGAACTGCATTACTTTGATTTTATCTTGATTTGTTGTGTACATTAATAATAGTGGTTTTCCCCCAAAAAGTTGCCAAACATCTTAAAAATTAAGAAGAATATTGTGAAAACTATTGGTGTACCTAGTCAGAAAAGCTTTCCTTTTAAGTGATATTTGTAAAGAGCACAATGTATTGCAACTGTCCATCTCACTACAGCAACATAAGGGAAAAGAAAGCTCTGAAGCAGCAGGCAAAAATCATTGCTGCAAATTATTTATTTTCTGTAAATTATATTGTTTCTGTGGCAGAGGATAGATGAAATATATTATCAGTTTGTTTTTGTTTTTTTAAAAAAACAAGTAAAATTCTGAATACAGTAACAGCTAGTATTTTATATTCACATTAGGAGCATGTGATAAGATGAAACTCTCCAGGGCTCCTGAATTTCTTTCTCTGCATTTGGGGGTTGGAGAAGAACGTGTGTGTGTGTGTGTGTGTGTGTGTGTGTGTGTGTGTGTGTGTGAGAGAGAGAGAGAGAGGGGGGGCAGGATGGAGGGAAGGAGAGAGGGAGAGAGAGAGAGAGATGGGGGTTATGCATGCAGTATCTTCTGTTTGATGCAATCTGAGAGTTTGATGTAGTCTGTATAATGTAAAGATTAGAGTGTAATCAAATACTAGAAATATATTGGAATACTTAACAGTATCTCAATCAAAGAGAAGCATCTCAATCAAAGAGAAGCATCTCAATCAATATTTAACTATCGTTTTTCTTTTAAGACAAACCTAGAATCTAAAGCCATGGTCAAAGTCACTGCAGTATATAATGGTACTCCAAATATAGCCAGACTAGGAAAAAGCAAGAGGATGATCACCAGATTCAGTTTTCTGGCAGTTTTCAATGAAATACTTCCTCCTGATGGCAGGGGGTGCTCATTGTTATATATGTGGAAAATGAGTCTCCTTTTCTTAAATTCTTGTTCTCTCACACACAAAAATTGCTCCATTCAGGCTTCTTTCAAAACAAGCCACCAAGGAGAAGGAGTGAACAGCTATAATGTTACTCATATAGTTGATGCCACATAAATGAAGACAGGATGAATGAATGAAGACAGGAAAAAAAAGAAAGAGTTGGAAAATGTTGGGAATGTTTGTTGGTAGCTTATAGCCAGGAGAACTGGGTTTGGATCTTGTAAATCCATTCCAAAGCATAGGTTCAGGGACAAAAGTTGCAGAGATCCACCCAAGGGAAAGAGAGAACTGCAGCAATGATTTCCAAGGAGAACCATTTGGGGTGTCCACATGGACTAGGGGAGACTTTCTTAGCAAAAATACCAGGAGACATTGGGAAGGGGGAAGAAAAAGGAGAGACGGAATTTAGTCTCCATTGCCAGGAAGCTACCAAATTCTTCAAAGGCTGCCATTAGAAAGAGTCCTCTCTACTTTTCATCCGGAGCGCTAGTGGTACTCTTGGGCCTGTGCAGTGAATTTTTTGCCCACTGATAGCTTTTCCCTTTTGACCTCCCCTGTTAGAGAAGCAGAGGACAGACCTCCTTTGCTCCTCCCATTTGTGAAATGATCTAGATAAGATATAATATCTAGAAGCAGCAGTGGCAACTGCTTTGGCTGCTTGCTCATTCTCCTGTGCAGGGAGGTAGAGCAAAGGGCAACAACAGGGTTGAGAAGAGGCAGCGGCGACCCATATCTGCATTTGGGAGGGCAGTTGTTAGGAAAGGAAGGAGAAGCCACTACCAGTACTATTTTACATAGTCAAGTTAATGGGCATGTTGCTGAACACCTCCCCACACCCACCCCAATGGGCAAAATCTTGAACAAATGCAACAGGTGATCTCTCCACCTTTCTCTCTCTCTCTTTCTTTTAAAAAATAGTTTTTTTCACAAGTTATACTGATAAACCGTTTAGATATTGGCAATGAGGCTATACTGCTTCTATTTTACAATTTCAATTTTCTTTGTTAGCAGCATAACTATTATCTATCTATCTATCTATCTATCTATCTATCCATCCATTCATCCATCTGTCCATCCATCCATTTCCATCTATCCTTCCTTCCATCCATCCATCCATTCACCCAGTGGAAGAGTGATGGAGAGAGAGTGGGAAATGATATTTAGTTTAATTTATATTATCTGTTTTGTTCCTCCTATTGCCAAGGAAATCTAAAATGGATTAAAGAAAAAAATCACTCAGTTTATCAAAGTTCTCATGCAAGCGACTGTAACAATAATGGATGATTCATTAGCCATATCATATTTATAATAAAATATATGCCTAACATAATTTATGAATATTACTAAATTCAATGGATTTGTACTGGTACTTCTATAGACAAATTTACAAAATATTAGTGTACCAGTTACAGTAAAAAAATAACTTGTACTATACATTTCTAGAACACTGACATAAAATACATCAAAGCAAATGAAAGAGCTACAATGCATTTGATGTAGATTGAATGCCAGTACCCTCCAGAAGAAGAATTATATTGCCCTCATGACTTAGTTGTGGATTTCCTGGAACTAGAATAGGCCTATTGTCTGAACCAGCAAAATTCCTCAATTGTGCTCACATTGAATATAATGGCACAAATCACGAGAAACTATACAATCATGGAACCAGAGCAACTGACTTGAGAGCAGGTCATAAGGTAGAGTGCTACATCAATATTATGGTTTTATTTCTTGCTGTCTTTGATTTTTACCTTTCTACTTTTTTTCTTTCAAATCAAATCTTTATTGTGGTCAAAGACCAGCAGCATTAAAGGGTGGGTTGCAGCCAATCAAAAAGCATAGGAAAAAACATCAGAATCTAAACAATAAATATAAAAAGCCAAAAGATATAAAATAGAAGTGTGTGTGTATATATATATATATATATATATATATATATGTGTGG